ACCCCCACCTATTGGCTGTCTATAGAGCATAATTTGCGCCTCATCCCCGCTTCCTTGAAGTTGATTTCATCAATAATTGTAAGAGAAACAGCCGGATAAAACAAGCACATTAGAGCGTTAGTAAAGAACCTTTATGGGGCCTCTGCGAATGATGCGCCCTTACAACACCCTTTTACTAATTCTAAAAAAAACAACCATAAGAGAAATAAAGTAACCTAATGTAGTTCTGAGATTACTTCAACAACAAGCCCAACTTGATCTCCAATTACGTTAAACCCCAACGGAAACCTCTATTTTTATCGCAATCTGGGGTGTGCGATAGACTTACCTCCACGTGGTGCACTCTGGGCACCGTATACTCATACGGCAAACAGAGTCTGTTAACTTGCAGTTGACTTCTAACTTCAAACTGCCACGATCCCTCTATATGTCATATTTGACGACTTTCACAGTACTCACCTCACCTTTGTGTCAGTCTCTTTTACACCTTTGAAGCATTCTTCTGTCCCCCCCCCTTGACTTTAGGCTACTTTGATGAACCTTCCCTCTGTGAAGCCCGAAGTCAGCTAAATGACTAATGATAGCTATCAAAACGCCTGCCATTTGAAATAAATAAATACATTTTTGTCGCAATCATAAGATAACGTGGAAGATAAACTGCGAATCCACTTTATAAAGCGAACACCTAAAAACGTAATCTAACTAAGAGGATGACGCACAATTCTATTTCATATTCCATAACAGAAATTTTGAAAAGTACACTCACTCAAAGAAATCGATCGATATGACTATAAAAAATCAAAAGGCATCCTCCATTTACAATCACAGAGTTTTCACCAGGAAAGCTTCATGATATAAATCTCTTTACCCATTATGATTGCTAAAATAGGGTAGGAGGTTATTCCACAATATACCAGAAAGTGGTACAAGACAAATGACCAAAGTCCCCAATCACAATCGAGACAATTAAGCCAAACCCTGATCTACAAAGGAATTCCTCTTTCAACCTTTCCTAAGAAAATGAACACAGCTGTTGAAAGTAATTCCTGGATCACGTGCTGCTGCAAACATAGAAAGACAGCGAACAATCAGAGAAGAGACAGACACGATCATACACAGCCTGTGCTTTGAGGCTACTTCTATGACCTATTGTTGATTCCTCCACTAATTCTGTGGAATTCACATAAATCAAAGCAGATGAAAACACGAAAATCTCGACTTACACACACACACATACATACATACGTACATAAGACGCGCAATGAATGGGAGAAAGTGTTGGTGTGAGGGAAACTGACATTTGCTTCCCAGCAAAACCAGATTGTATTTATAGAGAAAGAAGGGGAGAGGGGAGGAGGGAAGGGGGGGGGGAGGAGGCGGTGGAGTACTGAAGTGGGATTTCCCACATGGAATAAAAAAACTCGTGATGGTGATTTGGTTAATGCCTATTGAAAAGAAGCAACCTGCAACTCCCACGAATCGAGAGAAATGTGGGCTGTTAATGTAACTAGGGCAACATCCAATACTCTCAAGACCAATTATAGAGGGTTCCCATTTTCATTAAACATTAGTAGATAGTCAAGGTAAAGTAGAGTCCACATTGAATGTACATGGCACACGAAGCTCTGATAACTTAGAAGCTTCAAGATATAACTCCGACATGTTAAAGGATGTAAGAGGCAGAAAATGGTGCAAAATCAAATACCAATCAAACGGCTAGACTAAAATGGAAATTAGGGCGGTAGGACCCACGCCACTTGTTTATAAAAGATAAAAAAAGACAAACAAGCGCTAAACATCTCGTAGACAAGGAAAGAATAATGAAACCTGAATTTTGGGAAGTTAGCTGCCGCCCCCAGTTGGCAAACGGTGCACGTACGAAAACCAAAATTAGAAAGGAATGTCGTCGATGTACAGCATTTTTACCCCCTACACTTTACTATTATTTAATACTGCACACTTTTAACCAATATTAAAAATTTAAATGACTTTACATATCTCAGCTTTGATAAATGTTAAGGTCATTCCGATTTTTTGACCGACTATCCAAGTTAAACAACTAGCCAATAAGCGCCGAGTATACCAGATGAGAATTCGATCAGTAAATCCAGCGGACGAATTATGAAGAATGAATTACTCGCTGGGTAATGACTGTACGAGACGAATCCACGACTTCTAATAGACCAATCATGCAATACAATATCTAGGCCTTATATACCCTTACAACTACCACTTATTGAATCTACTTTAAAGGTATTTCAGCCCCTTTCTCACAAAACAAAATTTGGAATACTCTGATTCGCCGCTAGTTATAATAATAATAATAAGCAATTACCGATGTAAAGTTGTCAACTTCAAAAGGAGATGGTGAAAATCAATCTAAACCTCAAACTGACTGCTGTTTGTATACGAGAACCTTCATCTTAGGGTACCTAAATGTACTCAAAGTTGAGAGGTCGAAGCTTTCACCCTGTAGACACACGCGAAGAGGGTTTGGCCTTTAAGAACCATTTTCTCATATTTTTGAAAGGTTACTGACAGGAGGAAGGAGGTGGGGGGAGGGGGTTGGTTGGAACAATATATTCATTAGCCAAAATTCAAGAATGTTTTCAATTTTCTAACCAAGAAACCGCCGCTACAAATGTACTGAGAAGCAATTCGAGAGGAACAAAATTCTTAGACTACAAAGCACACAAAGCATTCACTTAAAGATAGGCAAAAAATAGTAGAACAAATCAAGGAGAAAGTCATTTCAGAAGAAGAAGCGAATTGCCTATAGGGTTGTCATTTATTCCCACTGGCAGAAGCAAAAAAATAGACATTTATACATTAACATCACAAATGCGTTCTAATGGAAGCTAATAAACGTGAAGGTGTTCATAAAAAATGACAAATTATGTACCAATTCAGAGTCAATAACTATTTTGTGATCTCAGTAATAAAGTAGCACCACTTAGAGAAGGTTTGCTTTCCTTACCTACAATAGTGTGCCTATGACAAGTACAGAAAACGTTCAAAAAGTACTAGTTTCTCAAGCGGTCACGTCATCGATATTTCCTAAGTTGGTTCTTCATGAACATTCGCATTATTAATTTCACTCTGTGAACACTTCCAACTATTCCCCGCCAAGAGTCAGCACTATTTGACATCGGAGACTTCACTATGTCTTCAGTATCAGCATCGGCACAAGATACTCGAGGAGATCAAGTAACTGAGTCAGAGTGACCTCACCAGTCATCCGTATTCAGCCGATTGACGTAAATAGGTCATCCCAAATCGCCATTTATCAACTAGCACATCAAGAGCTATGCAATTGCGCTCTATCTCTCTCCTCACTTATTCCCCCTTGCATTCAATAAAACTCAAACTACCGATCTCTTTCTCTCTTCACTCCACCCTCTCAAATGGAGACCGTAGGAAGGTGGGAGGGTGAAAGCCCAGCAAGAACTCCACAGCCAATCAAATAGATAACTGAGACATAACCAGATTGGTCATTCTTGTTCTTTTCAAATAGTGAATGCGGTGCAAAAGAATATGCCTCCACCACTATGCACCCAAACTCAATTTCCCTACTCTGAATCCGTTACTAGAAACAAACGTAATGTTGAATTAGGGGGGCATTGCGTGGGGCAATGACACAGCGATCTGACTGAATTCGAGTCAAAATAAAGAAGACGGAACTTACCACCCCGAGGTGGGTGACACCAGCAGGTAAAATTGGCCGATGGAAGGTTTGATCAGAGCCCACAGCGGAAGGCAATGAAGGTGATGAGAGAAGACCGGCCACATAGTTGATCTTATCCACCCAGTATTCAAGCTCCTTAGGATCACTAAAGAATTAGAAAAGCAAATAGTCCGGCGAAAGTAAAAAAACCAATGATCCTTAGATATCTTATAATTTTAGGCAGCGCGTGGACAAAGTGACAATAGCTGCATTTAAGACTTATAGACCTTTGACAAAAAAACACTGTTGCGACAATGTAGACAGCCTTACAATTACGAATAGAGAATCGCATCAAATAATTGAACGGCACTTCTAGGAAAGTGTTTTACAAAGCTCTTCATGGGCCGAGAATGACATTATGGAAGCTACTTGGCTAGAGATTCGAATCTTACCATTTCGCTCACTGAACAAGCGTCGATGGGAATTGGACCAGTGGCCTGTGATCCAGCAAATAGTGTAATTGGCACACCTTTTCTCAAGAAGTATGTAAATACCTTTAAAAATCAACACGAACTAGCTTCAAAACCAAATTGAAGTCTGTTTGATAAATTGGCATTACTTTCTATAAACTTTATTGTGACTCGTGTACCTAATTAACATCGCCGGCCTACTCTTTGACCATATGCATAAGCGTCCAGTGCTAGAGTGGGATAGAGATTATATGAAACTAACGGGGGGTATTGCATGAACGTTATAGGCCTCTTCCATATGCTCGAAACAGGTGATTGGTACAGGAAATTGGAACACGAGATCTCGCTAAGTACTGATAGGATAACATAGCCTACTAACCCCTAAGTGCCAAATTTCACAGCGTAACACACACACATGAACAACCAACCAACTGCACTTTGCTGTGAGTTAGAGATGTGATTGTGATGACCTTTTCATGGGGCGTGGGAATCGCCCGTGTGGGCAACTAGTCAAGCAGACAGACAATTAGTAGATGGTGAGATTCTTGTGTGTGTGGGTGCGTGAGCGTGTACATTCAGACAGGTTCACTGACGAGGTATCAATCACAATTCGGGTGAGATGATTCATCAGCCAAATTGCGCGTGTAGCTAATGTGACCGGTTGAGGTAGGCAGAACCATGCATAGGCCCATTCCTGTGAAATTATTAATAATTAGAGCGAATATAAGGTCACAGCACATCTTAGCTTATACCGTCAAGAGGTAGGTACTGAAAGCAAAAAAAGAGAAATGACCTCTAAAACCATGATAGAAGAATACTTGCTCGAGATAGGAAAGCAATGGATGTGCGCATATGATGCAATGGTTAAGGCACTTGACAACGAAGTAGGAGGTCAATGAGAGGAATGGTTAGCCGCACTGGTTAAATTTAGGGGCAGTAAGCGGGAGGAGGAGGGCGAGGGGTGGTGGCCAATCACATTACTGAATACTACCACACAAAGAAGGTGTGACAGAATACCAATTCCGTATAAAAGTGATCCAGGATGTCTTTTCGCAGCCTAAGACAGGTAATGTGAATGCGTGCCTAAAAACGATTATGGAGATAGGAAATAACTCACTCGTCACAATTAGAATTGACTGTCCACTTCAATTCAACGCCCACGGTACACTCCCAACTAAACCCACTTTCCATACATAGGGTCCTGTTAAAGGACACTTAGGTTACTATCAACGCAACATTATATTGCATTTCAATTTGGTCTAAAAATACACTCATTTTGGTGTCACGTTTGTTTGAGACGCAAACACACGAAAAAGTCAGATATCAGGTGCGAATGCCATTCAGTTACGTTCTATGGAAAAGATCAAACATCATATGTTTCTTACCTACGCAATAGATTCCGAAGCCCATTTGAGAGATTGATGGAAGGACGATAGCCTGGAGTGTCATTTTTTGCTAAGTGAATTAATCCCGTCAATAGATGCACCTCAATGAGAGGCAATCCCATGATCAATAGTTTTTCAGATGCTCATACTCTCCAATCGACGAACTTTAAACCATAATCTTAATTCATTAAGTGGTATTTTTCGCAATTTTAAACATTGGTATGAGAAAGGTTCGTTCATTTTTACATTGTGCAGCACGGGGTGTGCGATAGACTTATCCCCACTTGGTGCCCCCTGGGCAACGTATACTCATACGGGAAAAAAGTCTATTATCCGACAGTTGACTTCTTGCTTCAAACAACCATTACCCCCACTGTATGTCATATTGGACCCCTACCACAGTATTCATCTCACCTTTTTACTACTTTTGTGTCTGTCTGTCTCTCTTACAACTGTGGATCACTCTTCTGTCCCTCCTCTCAAATTTTTCCCACATTGTGCAGCTCCTGCGCTATTACCCTTACTTCGCTCTTCTTAGTCATATTATAAACGCGGTGGCCATAAGACGCCACTTTCTCTTGTTGTGGTGGAGGAATTCGTAAAGAAAGGGAAGACAGAAAAGTTGGGTTTTGCTGAGAATCACCAAATATTCAAATTAATGTGGCTTTTCTCCTCTAAAATATCTACTTTGGCATTAGAGTTAGCACTGAGCCCTTCCATGGCTAATCACGTCTGTCAATCTGGCGAAATAAACTTTCTAACAGCGCAATGAGTAGGCTAAGAGACAAACCGTCTTCACGCCCATTTAGGGAGTGAAACTATTGGTTAAGTCCCAGTTCATATACCACAAATACATTTTTTTCTCAATATTGCACCCAGATCCGCGACATTCCGCTCCCACCAACACTGTCACCAACTGTCACAATCCCGATGAGCGCGTTCTTACTGCACTCAATGAAGTTCTTTAACCACCAGCATCTTCACGCAAACCTATTGTTGTGGGTGGGGGGGGGGGGGGAAGGGG